TATATGTCAAATCTACCGGATCTTACACTTTCTCTTCCAGTTACGCTTGAAACTATAATGGAGATGTGTTGCGATTGGATCAGCAAATTCTTTTACATCGAGCAATTTCGTCTTTCACGGATTATCTCGATCAACCATTCTATAAAATTGTAAGCAACGGTACCCCAAGAAGTATCAGTAAAATTTCATGATTCCTTGTAAAAACGTTGAAGAACTTGAAAGAGACTTGGAGCAGTTTCGTAGCTTAAAAATGGACAGTGAGGTTCGAAGGGGGACTGATAAGAGATATTTATATAGTTGTTAAAAATGAAAAACTACACCCTGATTTGCAGTGTGACAACGAAACAGCTCGATGATGGTCATACATTCTCTTATTATCAACGTAGAAACGGATTATTTAATTTCTAAATGATTTCTCTAAAATTTAAACTGACATACGTATATATATATATATATATATATATATATATATATATATATATATATATATATATATATATATATATATATATATATTAAGAATTAATCACACATAGAATTAATCAAGTATCAATGCGATTATTGGCGACATCCGTCACTAGAAAACATAATATATGCATTAAAATCCTGTTCATCCATAGTGCGAGTTTTGATCCTTGAAGAAAAACTTGTTGTCTGTAGTTTTTCAGTTTATTTGATGTTAAAATGCTAGTACTTACGGACGGTCTTCCATCCATCATCAGGCATGTGTTTTTTTTCTTATAAAATCAAAAACTTGAGACGATATATCTGTATGTCGACCGAAAGATTTTTTTGAATATCTGCTATTATTGACGGTTGTAAGATCTCGGAACGTGCAAAGACGCAACGCTAAGTTTTTCAAAATTTTTAAGTGAGAATTTTATTTAAATATTTCTTGTGATGTGTTAATATATGTGTTATATATTTATGTATGTATGTAAGTATATTATACAAATAGTAATACTAGGTTGGAAAAAAAAGTCGGATAGCACAACTCGTAAGTATATCAAAACAAATCGGTACCCGAGGAAAAAAAAACAAAAAAAAACCTACAAACATCCGAACAGGGCGAAACTAATATATATGTATGTATTCAGAGTTGTCCTTCTCCTAGACCAGTTGCCATTCAAGGCTATAGAACCCAGTTTGTCCTGCTATTTTACCCATAGCTGGAGGGAGAGTAAGAGGATTCATACCTTTCCCAAGGGTATTAGCACGTAAGTGAATGTAATGGATTTGATTGGTATTCGAAGTCGGCTCTGCGATTCCTCAATCCAAGCCGCTATCAATTACTCCACCGTGCCTGCGGAGGGTCTTTTGGGAACCTTGTGGCATTCGGTGCACCAGGTCTCTGTATTCGTCCCTTCAAAAAGTGTGGATGGTCCTGCACGAGGCCTTCACCACTATAATCGAATCTCATGTGCCGGTGTCGGGCTGTCGGTTTCCTGGAAACTGATCTGCTTGACCCTCATACGTCGAATCTCGACGGGAGAGTCGAGATTATATATATATATATATATATATATATATATATATATGTATATATATATATTAAATCCTAAAGATCCAGGAAAAACCTACCTAGGTAATGTAAGAGGACAACGAATAGAATACATTTCCAACGTTCGTAATATTTAATTTAAAAGAAGGCTCAATACAAAGTAGAGCAATATTATTTATTTTAGGAAATTACATCGAAAAACATGTCGAAATCGCTACACAAATGCAGTCGTGTTTCGATGCGTATCAATGCATCTCATCAGGCGATCTGAATCTAATTCTGAGTAAATTGTTCACTCGCCAATAATTTACAATCGCCCGATGAGATGCGTTGATACGTATCGAAACACGACTGCAGTTCTGTAGCAATTTTGACATATGTTTTATGTAATATCCTAGAATAAAGTATATATATATATATATATATGCTTTTATTATTTCAAACATTCCTTTTTTGAACTGTCCGTAAACACGCAGATATATTTTTCTTTCTTTTCTTTTGTGCTTGATGTTGTTCTTTACATAATGTATACTTATAAAAATCCTCGTTGTTGGAAATCATTTGGGGGGTTGGGGGGAATGTTTAATTCGTTTATTTTGAAAGTCTTCATCCTCTTGAGAAACAAGTCATAACAGCTCCCAAACTATTATAAACTGGTGACTAATATATATATATATATATATATATATATATATATATATATATATATATATATATATATATATATATCACTTTAAACGTTATTTTAGTGGATACTCGTATTTGAGTAGAAGCCTCATTTGTTTATTAAAAGTATATTTATTTATTTTCGTCTACCGGTCTAAATATGCGAGAAGTTTACAGTATTGGGAGTCTACAGACTTAAACAGTTGGCAATTGGGAGTATGAATAATTTGAAGACGGTATAGATTAGACAAGATATTATAAATGTCGAGAGCAACTGTACACACGATAGTGAAATCAGTTTTGACATAAAATTGTCCAAAGTAGGGACTGACAGGGAAAGATGAAGGAAATCTTGATTCATTCCGTTTTCTTTTTTTTTTTCTGTGCTGTGTCACCTCAGAACGTAGGGGATCGTATAAAACATCTTATTAGCAAAAGATAACCTCGTCTTATTCCTAATACCAATTTATACAAAATCAACAGACATATCAACACCTCTGTGGGTTATTGATATGTCCCGGAAAGGGATATATTTGTTTGAAGTAGCAAAGTGGTTGTTGACTACTGTAACCGAGTAGGACAATCTAGCAGGTAACCGTAATGGACTGGTCCTCGTCGTAGCGGTAGGCAATAGGCGTAGGCAATAGGCGTAGGCAATAGGCGTCTTCCCTGTACCTCCACATCAGTCTGTATTTATGGCTGACACCAGCCAATCATTATCGTTAAGGGGAATCATGGTCTATGCATATTCATTACATCAGTTATTTAATATCAAAATATAAATATTTTGTTCGCAATTTTAATTTTATTGTTGGAGATAATAATGTTTTGGTCATACAAGTCTTACTAATTAACCTATAGCTATTATGAGTGAAAAGTGTCGACTGAAACTGTAGAACGCGCTATTGTTCTACATGGAGACTGACGAAGAATGATGAAGAAAAAAAAGATTATTTCTATCGATAACAGTTAAAACATCGAATTATCAAAAGATACTCGCACATCATCTTCAGTTCCATCTGATGTCAGAAATACAAAATATACTCAATATATATATCTTCATCTTCTGACTGATATGAAACTATTTCAACATGTGTTGAAATTAGATGCAAAATTGCTTTCTCATAAATCTATGCTATTTTATTTCGAGAACAGATGTGCAAAGAACCATAATGTACACATTGAACGACCATATTAGAAGAACTGTTAATAATAATTCTATCATTTCCCGTAAGATCCTGGAAAAAACTTGGATTATATGGAGGTTGGTGTAAAGTATTTTATGACAACGTCCGTTCCAAACAAAGGCCTTTATAGATCAGTTTTGTATATTGGGCTGGTGTAAGGATTGAAAGAAAATGAACAAGGCGTTAATATATAAAAAAATATATATTATATCATAATATATATATATATATGAGAATACCATATATATATATATATTATATTATTCTTATATATATATATATATATAGTATTCTCTTTTTATACTCTTTTTAGAATAGTATACTATATATATATATATATATATAGTATTTTTTTAAGCGTTTCACTCCAAGCAAGGCGGGAAGCTACTAGCACGCAAGTGATTACAGAGAATTGGAGCGAGAGCAAATAGGAATGATAGAGGAAAGAATGAAGAGAAGGATATTGGATAGATCAGGGCATCTGGAGACGTCGATTGACATTACATTTGAATAGTTGGAGATTATAGCTCTCATAGTATTCTTATATATGTAGTATACTATTCTTAAAAGAGTATATATATAGAGAGAGAGAGACATAAAGAGTGGGAGATCGAGAAAGAGAGAGAGAGTGAAAGAAAGAGAGAGTGAAAGAAAGAGTGAGAGAAAGAGAGAGAGTGTGTGAATGAAAGCAAGAAAGAGAGAGTGTGATAAAAATAGAAAGAGAGAGAGTGAAAGAAAAAATGAAAGAGAGAGTGTGAGAGAAAGGGAGAGAGATCGAAAGAAAGAAAGAGAGAGAAAGAAAGAAAGAAAGAGTGAAAGAAAGAAAGAGTGAGAAGTGAGAGAAAGAGAGAGAGAGTGTGAATGAAAGAAAGAAAGAGAGAGGGTGATAAAAATCGAAAGAGAGAGAGTGAGAGAAAAAGAATGAAAGAGAGAGTGTGAGAGAAAGAGAAAGGGAGAGAGATTGCAATAAAGAGAGAGAGATTGAAAGAAAGAAAGAAAGAAAGAAATAGAGAGAGGGAGTGAGAAAGAGAAAGAGAGTGAAAGCAAGAAAGAGAGCGTGTGAAAAAAGAAAGAACGAAAGAAAGAGTGAGAGAAAGAGATAGAGAGAAAGAGAAAGAAAAAAAGAAAGAAAGAAAAAAGAAAGGAAGGAAGGAAGAGACGATAGAGGAGCCGATAACAATTCCATGTTTTTAATGACTGCTTCCATGACACTTGTAATTTTAAATCTTTTTCATTTGTACCCTCTTACTTCTTTAAGTAATGACCTGTATTCATATTCATGATTCCTATTGTAATATTTTAAGTTGTTAAGCTCAAATTTTTAAGGATGCAACAATTTCCAAAGGTTATTCTATTGCCGTGGAACTCGTAAAGATCTTTTGTTCAATCAATTACTTAAGAATTATGATTCATTAGAAAGTCACTGAGAAAAACCGTAAAATTTTCACGAGTCATTCTAGTTGAAATAAAAACGCCAGCTGAAAGAGAACGAACTTTTAAGACGACACAATAGAAATGTCGGTACCTTTTATTGCCTCTTTCCATCGATTCATATTCTAGACTATAAAGTTGGTGCATGTCACTGCATACGGTGATAACAGACGGATTCTGGAAGTCTCTATCGATAGAAATAATTTAAAACAAACTCAAAAAAAGAAAAAGGTTAGAAGCGAAAGACAGTCTCCTCTTCTTCGGTTATTTTCGTTTTTCTTCGGTATTTTTCGATTCTTTCCGCGGATCAACGTCTTAACGTTTGTGGATCTCCTGCTATGGGAACTGACCTCTTCTGTCCATGCCGCCAACTGGGCTCCAGTTGCTAGGGTAACGAGATCGCTGTCTGTTAAATGATATGAAGCAAGGTCATTACCAGACCTCGTGCTGTATGCAGCAGCAGCAGCAGAATTGGTGCACAAACGAAAAGTTGATACATTCCGGGTCGTTTGAAGAACGCAAGAATTAAGGGGAAAGGAAGATGTGTGAATTGCTGGTTGAATTAATTTGAAATAAAATGAAGGGAAAAGAAAAAGAAGGCGGGAAAATGAGTGGCTTGAAATAGAAAGGTAAAAATGAAACCAAAAAAAAACAAAACTATTGAATAAGGAAGAAAGGGGAGGATGGAAAAAATATTCAGATGTATATATCGGGAGAAGATAGAAAAGAGAAAAAGAAAGAAAGGTAATGAAGGGAAGATAGAAAAGAAGGATTTGAAGAATGGAAGAGGTGGGAAGATGGAAAAACAGAATCCAAAGAAAAAAGGGAACGATATGCGGAAAACGAAATCAGGTAAAAAAGAAAATAAGTATTGTAGAATAGTAACGAAAATAGGAAGAAAAACTAAAAATAAGGAATGATAGGCAAGCTGTTTCAGTGTAAGATTAAATCTTGTAAAATTGTTCACCATACTTTATGAGCTCTTTTCTATTTATTAGTATTTTTTTCTATTTTTGTTTATCTTTTTAATTTATGGACTTTTTAAAAATTCTTAACCCTTTGAGCCCTGCGTTCCTGAACAATTTTATCCCTTCTGCTCAAACTTCTAAGTCAAAATTCGCAAATAATTGGTATTTAATATTTCACGTTAGATATAAAAATAGTTACAAATGTTTACCCACCGTTCAACCAGTAGTCATTTTTCTCTACCACCGGGAAAGCGATGGTCAGGGCTCAAAAGGTTAAACTTATTCTGCGATCAGAGAAAGTAATTCAACAGAAACAGTAATACAATTCTTATTTTTATTTCAGATTTACACCGCATGCTAAACACATGGCAGAGTATTTAGAGCGATAACTTTTTCGACTATAAGTTCTCACTTCGAATTTCATCAGAGTCAAACAATCAAGAACGTGTCCTTTTGAAGATATGGGCCCAGAGAGACGTTCCCAGTGTGTGATATCGTTGGGAAATGTCTGGAAACCATACCCAGGGTTGATCCAAGCTTTTATCATTAAATCCTTTCTTTTAGCAAGTCATCATGATCAAGAGGGTAGACGTACTAACATTGTTCAAACAGTTGATCTTGTCATACGCTCTCTCCTGGAAATTATAACTAACTTTCGCTAAGCATAGTTGCAGAATAAACCACACTTTGACTGTGTTGAAGAAAGACAAATGTGAAAGCAGGAGTATCTAGCCACTGTAACAGACGGCCATACTCGGAAACGAGTAGCCACCAATCTACTTTTACTATGTCTCTTATTTTTTTACAATAATCTTTGACGCTGTACAAGACACAAGAGCCACTCGAAGTAGAGTGTTATAGAGTATGCGGCACAGTTTATGGGGATAAGTGAAGAAAGATACTGATTAAATTCGTGACTTCAAAAGGTTAAGATTATACTTGTCAGAAAACATCGTCTTGAGAGACTTGGAAAGACGCTGCTCGGGTGGAACTTCTCACCAATGGAATACGAAAGGAAGGAGGGTTGTTTGCGACAATGGGCGTGGCAATTCGTGTCTTAACGTTAGCATTCGGAGAGCTAAGGAATGTACTTCATTTGAACATTTTCCATGGAAATAATGAGTAGGGAGAGGCTTGCAAAAGGGGTCATAGCTTGGGAAATAATTAATCTCTACAAGGACGCATTGGCGTTTTTTTGGACTCTATCGAGGCTGTAAAGTGGAGACTGGGAAACGCCTGGCCATATATGGCAGCAGTGCCCCATTTTCGACCTGATCTGGCTCACTTGTAAAGATAGATCCGTAGAATAAATATAAAAGTGACCGGTTCTTGGGAGAAAAAAAAAGAGAGAATAAATTGAAAGAAAACTTCTGTAAAAATAATAATGTTAATGATAATTCTTTAGTTACAAAATTCAAATAAATTAAAATTGTTAGACGCACCTAAAGAAATTCGCCCGTATGCACTTTCAAAATTGCAGTTGTAGCTGATAGTTATATATGAAATTTGTATTTATCTATTAATGCCATGTCCTTTCGAGAGGTAACCGATCATTGCTCTCCACAGTTTATTTTTCTTTATTATCTCGGCCATTAATTCCCAACCGCTGTGCCGCGGCATACCAGTGAGCTGCGGCACACTAGTGAGCAAGCGCGATCATCGCAGTATTGTGCCACATATATATATATATATATATATATATATATATATATATATATATATATATATATATATATATAAGTAAATATATGGATATAGATCCGATAGTATGAAAATATACTGAAAAATAAAGAAAAAATTCTGATATGCGATTATGCTGTTTTAATTAAAACAGCATAATCGCATATTAGGATTTTGTTTGTTTTTTCAGTATATTTTTTTTCATATATATATATATATATATATATATATATATATATATATATATATATATACCTATGTGTGTGTGTGTAAGTAGTAATGGTACAGCTTTTTTTAGTATTTGAATAAATGAATAATTATTAAACTTTTTTCAAATGATTCTTTTCACTTCGATTATGTTATTTTAACTATTTTGTTTTAGCATTCATTTTTTAAAAAACTGTTTTTATTATTTTTAATTTCACTTTTAAAATTTTTCTTTTTATGAATAAATGAATATTAACCTTTTTTAATATAAGTGTATCCAATATTCTTTGTTTAATTCAAAATTTTTAAAAATTTATATTGAATTATGAATTCATATTGATATTAATAATGTTTACAATATGCAGCATTGAGCATTTGATTTAATAATTTTCCAATTTTTAAAAAAATTATATTACCCTGAAAATTTTGCTCCAAGGTGTGCCGTAGCTTCAAAACTTTGAGAAACACAGATCGGGGCGTTACCATAATCTGTTGGGGGAATACAGTGGAGTGCTTTCCGGTTGCCATTTTCACGGTTTTGAATTCAAACTTGTTCTTTTTGAACTGTTTGTACCCCAAACAAAAACCAAAAAGACAGAAAGAAAAAATACGTAAAAGAAAGAAGGAAATTAGAAAGAATGAAGATGAAAAAAATTGAGAAAAGGATGAAGCGTGAAAGAAAAAATGTAAGAAAGAGAAACAAAAAATGAAGCAAAGGAAGAAAATGAAAAAAATGAAAGAACAAAAATATGAAATACAGGAAGGAAAAAATGAAAGTTTGGTTTGGTTTGTTTTACGTCATATCAACCTCAAAGGGTTATTTAATGCCGACAAGGTTTTTATTGTTGGTTTGGTTTGTTCTACGTCATATCAACCTCAATCGGTATTTAATACCGATAAGATTTTTATTGCTGGTAATATTTTTTTCAATAATATATTGCTGATAACTTTTTCTTTTTCAAGAATGTATTGCTGGTAATAATTTTTTTCAAAAATGTATTGCCGAGATATTTTATTCTAAAAAGTATTGCTGGTAATAATTTTCTTTTCAAAACTTTATTGCTGTTAATATGTTTTATAAAAATGTATTGCTTCTATTAAAACCAATTCTTACACTTTCATAATGTTTTGGCCCCTGTTCGGGGTTAACTATTTGCTCAAAGCTGGGACCCTAATAGGTGGACCTGGGAACACCAGCAATTAAGAGGTCGTTCCCCGTTCCTCAAAACTTCATGTTCAAAGGCCTTGCTGTAGGGTTTAGTTTAACGTTTTACCCAGCACGCGGATGTATTTTATCGTCTTACCCAGGATGAGAAATGAAAGAGAAAGGAAAGTGTGGATTTGTTGGGGATGAGATGCGAGACTGGGAGACCAGATGGCGAAAAGATATCCGTCCTCATTGTAAAAACATTCAAAATTAAAAACCGAGAAATGAATAATCTATAAATGACATGAAAAGAGTAAAAATATTGAAGTGAAGAAAATCTGAATCATAGAACACACAATGAGGAACGTACTCACAACATGGCTCATATAAAATAGTTTGCTCTTATTGTCTCTTTCGACCAGACGCCCGACAGAAGAGTGGGTGGAGATATATGTATATGGTTGAGTAAATATATTGCATGAATGCATTTGTGTATGTGAGTGAATGTACGCGAGAGAGTCATCAATAGAAAGAGAGGACGTATGTGTGAGGAATAAAAGAAGGAGGGGATAGGAATTTTGCAAGTGGAAAATAGATTCCTGTCGATGTGAGAGAGAGAGAGAGTTAATGTGTTTCATATAGATGCGGCGTGATTGCGTGTGTTTCTGAGGAGACGAGAATCAAGGGAGTGTGTAACAAAAGCTAATGTGTGAGGGCAGTGCAGAAAGTACGTGTGTACATGCGCGTGTGTGTGTCCTTATTTCAGTCTATCTTTCAATCTAAATGCGTCGTAACATTTTTACCGCCATTTGTTTTATCGCCTTGAGCCGATCTAATTGTCCTGGTCTGGAGAGCATTTAGCATTGCTTTCATCTCTTCTTGCAATCAGCAAGAAACACGTGGCTCCATAAATAACCCAGAAATGCAAATCAACAAGTTAAAGCAAGGGACGGGAGGTCGGGAGGTTTTACTTCGAAGCAATCGTCAATAGACTGAATCTGACTGTTACATAAATGAAGCGATTTCCCCACACACACAAAATATATATATATATATATATATATATATATATATATATATATATATATATATATATATATATATATATATATATGTGTGTGTGTGTGTGTGTATTATTATTTATTCCAGGATCACTGGAATCACCAGGAGTATGACTTTTAGTGAACCTAAAGCATACTCCCCGGAACCTTTTAATAATGTTACATCTCCCAATCAAATGCTCAAAATCACCCTACAATGTTTTTAGTGATACAAAGTCATACTCATTGGAATGTTTTATAATTTTAATTAACCGAATAAAATTCTCAAATGCAATAAAAATCATTTTCTACATTTTTCCAATGATCTGAAAATGTTCTTAGGCAGGTTGTTAATATAAAGCCTAAAAATCTTATTCTTGAGTTGAATCCATGGAACTAGGAAGCTTAACCATTAACTACGACCTTCATAGACTTATTAGAGAAAGAAGACTTTATATCTAACAGGATTTCCCCAGTGATCTTATAGCTGTGTCATAACTTGTCAGAAGTCTTCGAGTTATTTTGAATGATCATTCTCGTGATGTTTTTTTTTTTTTTATTATCAAGTGCTTCACGGTTTCTATGTGTGATTTTATATATATATATATATATATATATATATATATATATATATATATATATATATATTTCGGCAACATGTTTTCATTGTTGCATTTCTTCTTTGTGGTGTCGTTATTAAAAGACGAGAGAAAATCACCGTGTTGATACATATTTCTTTTATTTCGAATACTTTTGATATAGCACAATGTCATCTTCAGGGTGTTTTCATGAAATAAATTGATAAAATTTCAGTGCAGGTGCAAATATCCTGTACCTATTGTTCTAGCATTTCCAAATGCAGTAATACTGGCCATATTTCCAGGACAGGTACAAAGGCAAGTAATCTGCATATATTTCCTGGGTATATACAAAAGGAATTTACCCTATATATATTTTCAGGACAAATGCAAAGTCAAATAAACTGTTCATATTTTCAGGGCCGAGACAAAGCCTTTTTCTTGTGAATAATTTCAGGATTGAGGCAAAGGCAGATCCTGGATATATTTCCAGGGCAGGCATAAAGGCAACTATCTTATCCATATTTCCAAGATAAGTGCAAATTGAAAATTCTGTACATATTTTCAGGATAGGTGCAAACTCAAGTGCAAAGTCAGAGAAGATACAAAGTCAAATATTTCTCATTTGCATGTATTGAATGACGCATTCATCCATTTTTGAATTTCTTCACACGTAAGACGCTAGTAGCCGATGGTAACGCTGACGGGACGACAAATGACTCCGCAGGGGGGACGCCCAATGGCACCGCTGGCGGGACGCCCAATGGAACGGCTGGCGGGACGCCCAATGGCACCGCTGGCGGGACGCCCAATGACACCGCTGGCGGGACGAACAATGACAACTCTGGCGGGACGCCGAATAGCATCGATGGCGGGACGGCCATGGAACGGCTGGCGGGACACCCAATGACACCGCTGGCGGGACAACCAATGACACCGCTGGCGGGACGACCAATGACACCTCTGGTGGGACGCCCAATAGCACCGCTGGCCGGACGGCCAATGGAACGGCTGGCGGGACGCTCAATGACACCGCTGGCGCGACGCCCAATGACACCGATGGCGGGACGATCAATGACACCGATGGCGGGACGCCCTATAGCACCGCTGGCGGGACGGCCAATGGAACGGCTGGCCGGACACCCAATGACACCTCTGGCGGGACGCCCAATAGCACCGCTGGCGGGACGACCAATGGAACGACTGGCGGGACACCCAATGGTACCGCTGGTGGCACGACCAATGACACCGCTGGCGAGACGACCAATGACACCGCTGGCGGGACACCCAATGACATTTGGACGCATTGCATGACGCATTCATCCATTTTTAAACTTCTTCAAATTGACCTTACCCACAAGCAAGTTGCCGATGGCATCGCCGGCGGGACGACTAATGATTCCGCTGGCGAGACACCCAATGACACTGCTGGCGGAACCCCCAATGGCACTGCTGGCGGAATGACCAATGACACAGCTGGCGGGACATCCAATGATACCGATGGCGGGACGGCTAATGACATCGCTCGCGGTACGGCGAATGACACCGCTCGCGGTACGGCCAATGACACCGCTGGAGGGGCGCTCAATGGCACCACTGGCCGACGCACAAAGACACCGGTGACGGTACGCCCAATGGCACCGCTAGCGGCCTGACGATGGCAACACTGGTGGGCTGCCGATGGCAACGCTGTCGGTCCTCTGGTAGCAGCCACTGGCAGGCTACTGGTGGGTCAATGGTTAGCCACTAGCAGTCCGCAAGTGGTAACATTGCCGAGACGAATACGTCTGCCGTCCGACAACGGAGCACCAGCGGTAAACGCTAGTGGCATGTCATCCAGTAGCAGATTGGTGGCTTGCATGTAAGTTGTGTCAAACTAAAATTATATTTAGTCTGCAATACTGGACTGATGTGCGCTTAGCGCTCGTGGTTGTCGCTAAAGTTAAACAGGATTTCCAATTCTGATTTTCCAAGCAGGCCTTTTTATTTCTCTGCTTTCGGATTTGATGTCGTATTAATAGCAGTAAATATAGACACATGATGAACGTAGAACAATTTATTTGAGATGTGTGTATGCAGACATCAAATATAGTAAAGGTCTTTTTCAAAATATTGAATGTTATCATTCTTACCAAAAAAGAGACAGTGCTTCAACTGATAGAATCAGCAATTGAAAGAGATCACCGGCGAATGGTGCTAGATAGTACATTCGTTAACGGTATATGCAGAAAAGTCATAAAAATGAAATCAATGAAAACTTGATGGAGAAACTGCCCCGAAATGACATGAATAAAAAAGATGCACCAGTTGCAAGAGAGTTATAGAATTATTAAATTCTAATAACATTTCTAATAGAAATATGATAAGTTCTTTCTGATGAAACATTGACAACCATTTTTCATTTTTGACTCTTAATACCATCTTGATAAAGAAATGTCAACAAGTATTCATTTTTACTTTTTTATTTTCATCTTAATTTCACTTTTTTTTCATTCGAAGCAGAAATATCGTCACGAACTTACTGCCATTTCACGTCGAAACACGAATTCCCGTGCGATCACCAAAGTTAAGCAATGTCGAGTAACGAGATGGGTAACTACTTGGGAGTGACAAGTGCAGTAATTTTGGATGTTCCTTTCGGGTAATGGATAATGGCTCGAAATTGGAAATCGGATAGCTAAGTTCAATTCTAGTCGGGTCCGTTATATAACTCTCAAATACCTTCGGGAAATATGAATCCACCTCTTTGTCCCCTAGTTATTGGCTGATTAGTAGAACTTGTATCAGTAAATCATTATTATATCCAAAATTTCTTAGAATCTAAAAATATTTTTTGGCTAAAAATAACCTGGTAAGCTGTAAAAGTAAATTATCTTGAATATTTATTAGATTAAGCATTGTTAGGTTTTTCTTCATCTTAATTTTAGTTGATTTATTTCCACTAATAGAATTAGTAGTAGTAATATTATCTTGAATTTTTATTGTCAACTATTTTGAGTATTTCTTTCATCTTCCTTTCACTTTGTTTTAAATAGTATTATGACTCGTAGTAAAATTATAGATGATATTTTTTAAATGGATCATTAACAACCATTATTAATTTTGATTAGTATATAGTTAAAAAAAAAGCTTTCACTAATACAAGAAGTACTAGTGTTAATAAAGTGTTAGTGATACTATTACTAATAATACTAGTGTAAGAAATGACTGAAACAAAGATGAAGGAAATACCCGTAAAAAACCCCAAAAAACTACTGCTAATTAACAATGGTTAGTCTAATATTTCTAATGTTACGACGAGATAAATGGCTAAGGAATTTTAGATGGAAAAATCTAAGTGAAAAATGAACAATATTGTGTCTAATAAAACTTTAAGATATTTTTACATCCACGAGAAAAAAAAGTGAAATTCATAAGAAAGATATCGTCGCCAAGAATTAATAATGGCTGCTAATGCTTCATCAAATAAAATATTTAATATAATATTATTATTACTACTAGTTGAAATGCAATTGGATTTAAGACGATCTATATACTAATCAAAATTAATAATGATCATTAATGACCCATTTAAAAAAATCATCTATAATTTTACTACGAGTAATAATACTATTTAAAACAAAGTGAAAGGAAGATGAAAGAAATACTCAGAATAGTTAACAATAAAAATTCAAGATAATATTACTACTACTAATTCTATTAGTGGGAATAAATCAACTAATATTAAGATAAAGAAAAACCTGACAATGGTTAATCTAATAAATATTCAAGATAATTGATTTGTGTTTTACGGTTTATCAAGTTTTAGCAGTTTATTTAAAGCCACAAAATATTTCTTTATAAATTGACTAGTTTTAATACAATTGTATTACATTTTAGAATGTTGTAAATATAAAATTATATTTGTAAATAAACAATCTCATAACTAGTTTTTATATTTTTGTTGTAATTTCTCAAGAACAACAAAAAAAAAACTTGTATAAATTCACTTTCACATTTTAAGGTTTTGTTAAAATTCTGACTATCGCTTTTTAAAACAATAAACATCGTTGAGGAGTGAAGGTAGTTAAAATAAAAGCGGTGTCAAGGTAAAAACATTCTTTTGTCACTCGGGATTTTTTTTTTTTTGGGCCACGAACGTCCAAGGTTACTCTTTGTATTAGCAAAAGCTTTTTTTTAACTTACAATTCACGTGGTTCATTAACATCTATAGAATGACGATATGAAAAAAAATCAGATTACTTTTGCTTGCTAATCGACTACGTTGGCCAGCAGATTTGAAAGATAAATAATTTCTTGTGCAAAAAGAAAAAAAAAAAGAAAGAAAGAAAAAAAGAAAGAAAGTGGGTATAAGACATAAATAGATAAAGTGGGCATGAGAAAGAAAGAAAGAAAATGAAAGAAAGAAAGAAATAAAGAAAGAAAGAAAGAAAGAAAGAAAGAAAACAGATGGAAAACGACATCATTTTGTATAAATTCCAACCAATGATGAATCATTAATTTCATCGCAAATTTAGATTTTTGGGATATACAAATAAGATCACTCTGCCAACAAAGCGATTGTTTACTTGCCGAAGTCATGCACATTTTTTAACCATCTCACCTCAAGCAAGGCGATAATCTCACTAAAATGCAAAGATTTACTGGGAATAAAAGAGAATGCGAAGGAACAGGAAATCTAATCCTAAACAGGAATTAAGGGAGCAACCTCTACTCCTGTCCTATGCTTTTCGGGGGTATACAAATGCCTTTAATGCGCTCAAGAGCCAGTCTAACTAGAACGTACTTTAACTTTCATAATGTCATCTTTAACTGAAGGCAAAAATACAATTCAAACAGAGGGACTCGAAATAGGTTATAAGAGTAAAACTTTTTCTAAGACTGAAACAAAATAAAACATTTTTAACTAAATGATCGCTTGTGACAGAATTGTACCGCGCCTTCCTTTGAAAATAGGCATCAAACTTCACTCGTCCAGCAAATAAAAGATCAAAAGAATAAAAACTACTCTAAATTATTATTGCAGAAAGCCAATATAGTGAAAATAAATAACTAAATATATAAATAAAACACAGAAAATTGACTTTACGTTTACATATATTTATTCTAAGCACAATGACCGGAAATGATCGTTGATGACTTCCGTTTCCGACATCTTCCATTGTGAAAATGTGTGCACGCATTGCATATAATTCCATAATCATTTGTGAATAAAAACACACGAAATACGTGCAATTCTCTTTCTAATATAAAAAGTGTCGTTTCATGAATCAATTAAGGATCCTCAGTCTTAAGTGTCCTCTACTGTTTTTCTTTGCTGCGACCAATAATTCACCAGATGCTGAAAGCCGAAGTAACTTAACATCCTTAGAATTTGAAATCGGGAGGAAGATGTATTCACTTCCATTATCATTGATCACGCGTCTGTCAGTTTTCTTTCTGTTTGTTTTATGGCTTTTTTTTTCCTATTTATTTTATGTCCTGAAGCTTTGTATCATTGTTCGTTTGTTGTTTTTTTTTTTTCAAAGATTATTTATCGAGGGTTGCTCTTCCAAATAAACAACACAAACTCTTCGCATTTGTTATATTCTGAGCAAAGCGGAAAACCTAATAAACATATTTAAAACGAGGCTACATTGATATTCTTCTATGGTAATCATTATTACCTTTAGGTATGGATTGATTTCAATAATTCCAGCATAGAATCGATGATAGATTTTGTACTTCCTTGATAAAAACCAGTCGAATCTTAAATGTTCTATGCAGTCTGAGGCAATGAAATCAGCTATTTTTTTTTAAACGGCCCCCCATAAAAGACTGTTTCGTATTTTGCTGTTTAGGGACTTCAGAATAATTACTAATTTCTCAGTGCATTAAAATGGATAAAACCCTGGGTAGAAGATAATGTCTGAAGAAATGATGGAAGTTTGTGGCACATTTTCACATAAAAAAGGCTGTATATTGTAATTTGTATCTACAGGTATGTGAAAGGCATACAAACTTTCCAAGTTTTCAAAGTGGATACATTGTGAAAAAAAAAATTATACTCTTCACTGAACCAATCAAATCGTCAGTAAAACTCAGACCAGCAAAATACATTTGCGAACATTTTCAGCATTTGTTACATAAAAACAGGCTTTTACTCTATACATACTATTTACATTATTCGGACTATTGTCATATTTATTACAACATTTCGGCCTTTCAGTATCTGTCTATATTTCTGAGATGAGGTATTATGTACACTATTTACATTTATCGGACTATTGTGCTCATCCTTGTCGCCATATTTATTACAACGTTTCGGCCGTTGTACGCCCCAGCCTTGGAACGTCGAAATGAACCCTGTTCTAGTTCCACGTGCCATTTTTAATGGATATCAGTTGTCAGTTATCTCCTGTTAATTCCCCTCTCCAAGTTCTCCACTGCCTTAACCGGGTATTGAACTCACACTTTTTGTGTCCTGTCACACACACACACACACACACACACACACACACACACACACACACACACACACACACACACACACACACACATATATATATATATATATATATATATATATCCTGTCACTGGATCTAACAAACGCCTTTATCCACTGTGCCATGTGTCCTTGAGGACATCTGTGTATGAATTTCTGGGTATTATAAACCTAATCTCCTCAGCAACCGTTTTTTACCAGTGAGCGAAATAAAGGGTTCAGTTCGACATTCCAAACATCTGAAGAAGGCCGGAGTGTACAATGGCCGAATCGTTCTAATAAATATGGCGACAAAGATGAGGACGTTAGTCCGAATAATGTAAATAATGTACATAATACCTCATCTCAGAAATATAGACAGATAATGAAAGGCCGAAAAGTTGTGATAAATATGGCAACAAAGATGAGGACAATAGTCCGAATAATGTACACAGTTTACATAATACCTTATCTCAGAAATATAGACCGATACTCTATACATAGTTTAGAATTTTTATCATTCTCTTTCTTTAGTTAGGAAGTTTCGATACTCTATTGCAGTTTTGTAAAAATACCTTCAACATTCAATGTCTGCCCAATACACAGTCCAAGTTTATATCAACCAACAAGGGTTGACTTATCGTAAAATCGAAAAGCTAACTCTTAGTTCCAATCAAATAGTGGCAATGAGTGTAAAATATTTTTCGCACCCCAATTTATAGACGAAACCCACAACTGCACAGGGTTACTTCTGAGCCAATAAAATAGGCTACATCTCGGTCTTGTTTGACCCAGTCCCAGTCTGTCTTGTCTTAAAGTCAGAGCGCTATGTTCATTTATCCGAAGTCGCTGTTGTACGTCAACAAAAATTCTTAGTTTATAAACTTGTTGCTTTATTACTGTTGCTCTGTCTTGCATAAGTTGTTTGCTTGCTCATTATTATGTTTTGCTCTATACTTTTCTCTTCTTTGCTTGTTGTTGTTTATTATTAGTTAATTCTGTATGTTTGGGCCGTACTGCCATTGGCATTTAACCCTGGCCACTTACTCTACACCATCCCCTAAAAAAGTAAAGCGAGCGAATTAAAAATAAAGTAAACAAATTGCATTTAAATTTTTTTAAAATCGTCTGCAGCGACATTAATAGTAACTGCATATTCTGGAAGCTGATCTCTGATCTGATCTAGCTTTAATAGTTCAAGAGAAGAAAAATGTTTTGTAACATCCACTATATCTCAAATAGACCTATTAATGTTGCATTATCACCGAACAGATTCTGTAGATTTTCCAGACACGATAAACGGTTCTACCAAAAATGAATATCCTTGATTTGAACGCCTTTTGAGAATCAAATTCACCCCAGTCGTCCTGGGTATGGAGATAAACTACGTCCGGCAGCAAGGCCTCTGGTAGGAGCATTTTAGAAGCATGGAGCCACCTCTTGTTGTTCTTCCCAGGTTCACCCTGACCCGGGGCAGTTAGGGTCATCGCTATGGGCAAATAGTTAACCCTCAAACTTGGGTCAAAATACTATGTAAGGATAAAACAGTTCATAGTAAAAGTACCAGCAATACATTTTCAGAGTTTTGTGACGTAGGGTCGCCGTTAATAATAAAGTATAACTCAAGATTTCAATTTTAAAATAAAACAGAATTTAATTATATCCGCAAATAAATAATTAACAAGAAGAAATAAATAAAAGTCAACCAAAGATAAGTAACCATTTCAGTGAATACCTTGTTAGTAGCGCGTCTTGTCTTAACGTCCCAAATCAAAACTCAAATCATCGACTCATAATGATTCACACTGATTCAACTGGATAGTTCCATTCAATAGTCACTCAATAATCATTTCAGTCAGCAGTCTGACACCAAAGATTTATACACCTGGCCGAAAACATATATTCCTAAGCCCAGAGTGTCACGCTCGAACCTCGGTGTCGGCAGTTACTCATTTTCTTCCTATATGGCATATAGTATTAAAAATTATCAGCAATATATTTGTGTAAAAAAATACAAAAAAATACAGGAAATACATTTTTAAAAATAAATTACTAATGCTCCCAAGAAAATAAAATTTCGGCATTACATGACCCATAAGGAGTTGATATGCCGTAAATCAAACCAAAGCAAACCAGATATCAAGTGGATCTCATGTATACAATCCATCACTAAATAAGCTGTAAAAATGGTTGGGTCTTTGTACCGCTCCATGAAGTATCTGACTCCTCTTGTAATGATATTTGGTCTAACTCTGTGAGACCAAATTCAGAGTATTGTTAATATAATATTATAATTAGAGCTACACGATCCCAACTTTCCAACCTTTCCCAAAGCGTTTACGAGGCTTTGTTTGTGATGAATTATTTTCAATTTTACAGACCCTTTCCCAAAGTCTAAGCGTCGTAAACGTATCCATACCTTGTCGCTATTTCCATGGAAAATGTTCAGACAAGCTAAAACCCCCAATTCTACTAGCTCAGACCCTGATGGCTCAAATCTGAATTCCATTCATAAGAAGGATGTTTCATTCAGACATCTTCTTCCAGGTAAAAAAACAAAAAAAAAACTCGTATTGAGTGACCATTTCTTGTAAAACGACATACGCTAAAAAAAAAAAAGGAAAAAAGAAAAAGAAAAAAAAACTACAAAACAACTGACAGATCATATCATTTTAAATAATTACTAGATTACCCGTAACCTGTTGGGTCACTGATGGCTCTAAAGGTTATAAAACACTGAGGTATATTTTAACATTCCATTAAAATAAAAGTTGATTTTATTATAATTGAGTGAAATATTTAATTTCGTTTTTCTCATCATTGGTCTGGTTTACAAATACATGTTTAATGTTTTACTGATTGTTTACAGCATTTAACAGCAATAGAACTTCCGGTATAAACTTGATCTTTAAATCAGATTAACTTAAAAATATATTTTTAACATGTCAAAAATATTTTAAATCATATTCACTTGAAAATATTTTTTTAAATATGCCAAAAATATTTTTTTAAATATTTAAAATATTGTGCGTTT